TCTCAAAGACAAATATTACTTTAGTAAATTATAATTAATATTACAATTTATAACTTACTTATTTACGTTTAAGTTAAACAGTAGGCCGCACAAAGTGCAATCGTATAAATTTTACGTGTTGGTGGTAAACTGGTAACGGATAAACTGATTAGTGATTAATTGTGTACACCACTTCTTTCACCGTACGCGATACGAAATTTCCTGGTATCTGAATATCTAAAGATTATGAGCTATGACTAAAGGCTATTGTGTTTATTCCAGTTATAAATTTAGGGAACTGGTTTGTTATAGCCCCGCAATCACCATTCTGGTGTGTTATCGCCCAGCCATTCATAAAACAATAAATACATCGTAAAAATAATCTAAAGATTCGACGGAAAAAACGTACCATTATTACTATGAAGTACCTATTATATATATCACAAAATATGGATCGATATAATCATATAATATCGATTTTGATTGAGAGTATACGCAGTATACCCATAATATTGAAAAAAAATCTTAAGAGTATACGGCGTATATTTAGTGTACCCTATGGGAACACCTCTGGGTGAGTTTGTACAGGAAGCTTTCGTGCCAGACTTTCCACGTCGAGGAAAAGAGAAGCTGTCTGAATGTGACTGTTAAATCTTTAACTGATCTAACGAGAAAGATTGGTCAGTTTTAAAGTATGTTGTATGTATTAAAGTTTAGTCTGGAGGCGATTTTTCGTAATCTGATTTAGACATGAAGTGCTTTTCGTAAATGAGTAAGAATAATCCACTCGTACATTTTGGATAGGGAGGAAAGTAGTGCGATCAGTCAGTAGTTTTCGGGATAATTATGGTCTCTTCCTATTTGTGGATGGAAATGATGACTGATTTTTTTTTCCGAGCAATAATCAGTTATAACTAGAGGCTTTATTTTTTTTAGAGTAATTAATTGATGATTATTCGTAAACGTGTTTGATAATGTCGTTTTACACATAAACTTATAATATTGATTTCCTTCTTCACCCTGATCGCTAAAGCCACTTGACCTTTCTCATTGGCATCCTCGAATATCATTTATTTACGTATATTAAGAAAATAAAAACATTCCATTAAGAAATAGTCATCATTTGACTTGTATCCTTGTGGCTGATCGTATATAGGCACTAACGTATATTATCCAAAGCAATCCTTTCTTGAAATAAACACCAATATATATAATATATTAACCTTATAATCGGGATTGTAATAGTTACCAATATTTTATCATTTATGGAATGAATAACTAGCCCTTTACGCGAAGAAAACTTTTCGAATTATATACATTTGTTTTTGTCTATGAAAAAAAAAAAAAAATCTAAATCAAATGCTATTTTCATGCTTAAGCGTTTTAATGTTTCTGCTTGTCCATGCGATGCTCCCGGGTTAAAAAACAATGCACTCTAACTGTCTAACGAGACGTGTGTTAACGAATGATTATGTTCCATTGTAAAGCCAACCGATCTCGATGATTCCAATGTGATCTCTGTGTCATGGTCGATCACTTTATTTAATTTTTCCTATTATCATGTTTACTACATAGTGTTTCTCAACTTTTTTCCTATAACGACATCCTTATTCAGACTCAAAAAAATTACAACGATTTATATGGTTCGATATTCTCGTATTTATTAGTTTACCTATTTAATGGATTTAACTAATAGACTAAACGTGAAAATTTTGAGCGAACAAATGCCGATACGCACAATCAAGCATTCTAATATTTAAGAATTTATAGATAAATGCTGCTCTAAAACCTTAAAAAATGCCACAAAAATTGCAAAATATGCCATAAAAATGAATATAAATTTAAATATGTCATAAAATGCTAAATAAAAACTGCATTAAATTAATCAGTAACACTTGGAACTTTTTTCTTCTTATGAAACCACATGTTGTGACATTAGAAAAAAAAAATGCATTTACATCAAAATGCCAGCCCTAGTTATTACCATCGTATTATAACGTCATGGGTTATGTCTTTGAAATCTGAACACGCACAATATGAGTTGACTGATATGCAATTCAAATTCAAACAGTAAAAAATTCCAATTCAATTTCGTATAGATTTTTTTTAACGATACTGCGTCGTGGTGGTTAACAATCTAGGATTTACGGTACTTCTTCGATTTTCTCGACTACATGCTCAGACAGTTTTTGCGAAACAAAACACGACGTTCGTCTTCGGAATACGGTATAGGTAAGGACCTAATAGAAATACCCACCGTCCGATGGTTTTATATTTTTTACATCATATCATAATATTCCTACGTCATAACAACGAAAATTATTAACTTGTGAATATTTCCTTGAAACGCTGACTAAAATATTTATTATTACAACAGTCCTAGTGCTGTTGATGGATAAAATTTTTAGAAAAGTTCCATTGATTGAAAAAAAAAAAAGAAAATCCAATTTGCTTTCATTGTAGTATTATTAAGCCCGAGTATTTCAAATACGACACGTACCAAAGCATTCATCTGAACGTGACGAATTTGACGTGGGCACCTCACTGGTACACATATTCGCGTAGTAGTTTTCAGATTATTATTTTGTAATATATATTTTTTTTCAGTTTTACTATTAAAAAAAAAAAAATCTACACTTGAATAAGTCACTATAGGGATATCCATCATAGATACTAAAATCTGCAGTTATAGCGAATGAAGGATTAATAAACGATACAGAACAATAATGATTTAATAATATTAAAAAATGCTTATTTGGATACTATTTTAATGTGACACAATATATTTACCATATTGTTTTTCACATAATATAATGAATATTAAATAAATTAAAAAAATAATGATTGAATACAGGTATCGGGTGGACCATTATTATGACGAATACCTCCATATGAATTAATTTGAAATAATTATAAACAGCCACATTTAAAACCCCTGTTTTCATTAAGTACTATCCCTACTTAACCTTTTTAATCGTTTCTCTCGACTAAATACACGTTTTCGCGAATACATGCGTCAAACGATTTTTAAACCGTTCAGCCATAGTTGGTCTCTTATAGCTTTAAAATTATATATTTTCTTCATAATATTATCATACATATTATTATTCTAATTTGAGTATATTCGAATTTAAAATGTAGTTCTTATATTTTTATCGAACATGCTGTAGTTACCGTCACGTTTTACATTATTTATAAATTATAGAAATATTGTGGGTTCTGAACTCGGCGACAATCATCATTCACTCCATAAAATATCGACTATGGTGGAAAAAATAAATTAAAAAAATAAGCACCTTAAAATACTACAGTATACTTTGCTGAGTTACACGCAGCACTGCTTTGACGTAAAAAAAAATATAAATTGCTATTTTTAATCTTTGGTGGCAGTGTATCTTCATGTAGCCCTTTTCTAGTAGGTATTTATTTATTTTCATTTTTTTGATATGGAAAAACTAGAAAATATTCGTTAACCAACATTGTCACGTATATGTATGGGTGTGTGTGTGTGTGTGTGTGTGTGTGTGTGTGTGTGTGTGTGTGTATGTGTATCTGCACATGTAAGAGGACAAACGAAATATTATTTTCACATCATTCTAAATTACGATTCTTATTATCTTCAATTCAGTATGTTAGGCTAGAAGTATTGATGGGTAAACCAATTTATCTTTATGACAACGGCAGTTATTGTTGTTATTAAAATGTGTGAGTGACATTTTTTCCTTGAAAAATAAATGCATGAAAGTACAAGCTTTTGTCGTCAACTCGGACACTGATGCGTATATCCTAAGAATGGAATATGGTACAATATTTTTACGTGATCGTACATATTGTTATCAAGGATGTAAGATAATGATCGTTTTATTTATAATAAGTGTAATAAATAATAATAGTCTTAACAATTCAGATATAACGTGTAAGAATTTAAAGTGTAAAAAATCAATATTATAACTAACTTGGCGCGAAGAAAACGTGTGTCAAATGATTAACAACAACTGACGATGGTGGATCAAGTTAAATATGTCGCCTAATCGTCGCTCTGATCGGTGATTTGCATGCTGGGGTGATCCCTATGTGTGATAATACACTTTCAATACTACGCAAAATACGTAATACGAAAACAAATGTAAGGAAAAACTAGGAGGAAAAGCGAGTAAATAAGTATTCGGGAGAAATATTTATACTTCGTAGAACCATTATGGTTGACATAGGATGATAATATATTAAAATTAAATCTGCAATCTAGATTCAACTACATTATAATCATTTCGTATTTTTATTGGTGGTCCTGTTATAATTCTTAGAACACTAATTTGATTCAGACCTAACAGATCAACAAAGTACAATGACTAAAAGTCTGACTATGGAGTAGATAACCGTCTGAAAACTATGGTTTCGAGTGATAATTTATTTCAAAGCTTTATATTAATAATAAAAATAAAAAAACACCGATTTGTAACTATTTCATTAGAAAAAAAAAAGATATTTAATTTCAATTATTTTGAAGCATTTTCAAACAACTATATGAATTTACATAATATTAAATAAAATAAACCAATATAAGAATAAATTATTTCAGAAAAAAAAAAACGTGCAGATGGTCTACAGGGAGAAATTGAACGCAAACTCAATTACTGTTACAATATTCCAACGATATTTATCATTACAGTGTATATATGTATATGTCCCGCGTGGGGTCGTTAAAAATGTTAGAGTTCCATACCATTTTTTTGGAAAAACGTAAATTTTCCGTTGACACGAATCATATTTCGATTTTAATTTGAACGTCCTATTGGTGGTCGACCACATTTTATTTCATAAAATAAATACTACACATTAACAATGTCTTTATAGGAACTAAACCTATTGTTTGAGTATACGCTGAACGCACAAACATTTATATTAAAATGGCGATCTTACACAAAGTTTCAATAAAAAAAAAAAAAAAAAAAAAAAAAAAATGGCGATCGATTATAATAAAGACAAGAGAAAAAAAATACAATACAGTGCAGGATATGCCGTTTGTCGATAAAAAACGTGTATAATATACTAATACAAATACGACCGAAAGAGTAAAATCAAAGATAAAATACAGGTACAAAAAAAGCTCTGCTGATACACCGTGCTCTACTGGGGATGCATAACATTTTTTCTGATCCTTACGTAGCGTGGACGTGCGTGTGGGTGTGTGTGTTTGTGTGTTTGTGCGCGGGTGTATTGACTTATACCAAACAGCAAGAATGCGATTGGGATTTCTTTCTAGATGAATTCCTGATCGACGTGCTCGGGCCCGTCTTACCACCCAACCGCCGCCGCCACAACTTGTTGATTTGTCCGTCGGACTTGGACGTCGTTACCGTGGAGTTCTCCATGATCGCAATCGGCCGATCCTCGCCGCCGTCAGACAGCACCTCCGCCTCGTCTTCGTCGTGGTCCTCCTCGTTGTCCGACGACTCGCATCGGTCCCTTAACGCGGCCCTAGCGTAAAGCTCTTCGCACCGGCTCGTGTACAGGTGGGAAATCTGCTCATCGCATTCGTCGGACTCGGTCTTCTCCGTGAAATCGGTCTCGGCCACTTGCACCAGGCGAAGTTCCTCATCGGAAGACTCCTGCAGTAGATACGACCGTTCGTCCTTGATGAAAGACCGCGGCGATCCTACCTGTTCGTCCTTCTCCTTCTCCTCCTCTTCCGATGACGAAGAGTCCACGCAGTCGGGCGATACGTAATCGGCCACGTGTACCAGTACGGGATTGGATTTGACCGGAACCGGATGTGCCACCACCGGATGCTGTGGTGGCGTTTCCGGCTGCGGTTGCGGTGGGGGTGGTCGTGATGATGATGTGGGTGATTGCGATGATGACGGTGGTGCTGATGGTGGTGGTGACGGCGGGGGTGGTGGTGTCGGTGGGGGTGACGGAGGCGACGGTGGGGTTGGTGGTGTCGGCGGTGAGGACAACAATTCGGGCGAGAACGATCTCAACGATTCCATGGCCGCGGTGGTGGCGGCCGCGGCGTTGGCGATGGCTTCGGAGATCGACAGATTAGATCTCTCTTCCCGGTGCGTTTCCGGCGAAATCGGCGAGCTCAAAGAACCGCTTCTTCCGCCCATGTGCCTCTTGAACCGGTGCCTTATGTACATCGCGTCCGCGGGAGACAGCGGTGACGAGCTCCTGTTCAGGCCCGTCATCCTTTGCAGTTTCATTTGCGGCATGGCGGGCGTAAAACTCAATGAATTCGATCTGCCTTCTGCAACACGACGTTTTACCAATGTAAATCGAATGGAAAAAAAATTAAAAAAATATTTGAAATATCGACCGTCGTTACGACACTATTGTGTAAGCGCGCGTTTTATTGATAGATGGGCTACCGCAATGGTACCACTTTTTTTCCTCGGAAAACTTCCAAACTCCGTTGTCCAGTTCATTAGGAAAGTAATAGCAAACAAAAGGAATAACCCTCGAATACAACAAAATCGAGTGAATTACGATGTAAACAATAATAAAAAGTCATAGCATGCAAATCATCATGCAATACTTTGTAATACAGTTGTTATAGCACGAGAATCGTCTAGCTTCGATAGTAAAACGAATAATTATTTATGAAGTCACAAGTCTCTGCAGTCACCAGAGATCATTGTAAAGTGCGCATTATTATTTTTATTATTATTTTGTTTTTATTACATGTCAATAAGCGTGCCAACTCCTATAAATTCTACCCAAGTTTTCATGTTAGGTTTTCAACTTTCCCTCATAAGTGCACATAGCGGATGTTACTTTTATGGTTATAAAACATAAACTTTAAATTACCGTTTATTATTATTATTATTCCTGAGTATATAGTGCTGCAGGTACTAACATTAAATAAAACAGTAGGTGCTTAAAATAATCTCAATAATATGTAAAACAATACATGTACGTGTATAACTTATATGTCTGTCCAATGAATTCTATATTTTAATCGCATATTCGTAATATCGCGCTCGACATCGTTTTAATTAATTATTTTAATTATCATCCTATTGCACGAGACAGGTATTAAAATTTCATACATTATAGTATAATACGTTAACAACAATAATGACATCAGTGTAATTTATGGACTCACCACGAGTGTATGCCGCGTAATAATTATAATAGTAATTTACCTACGAGATATCGACTCTAGATGTAATAATGTCTTAAATGTATATTTTATAATATTTTCTCAACCATTCGGACTGCAGAGGCCCATATTTTTAGTGGACATCTCATTCGGTTCGCAGCACATATTAAAATAATTAATTCAAACGTACATGTATTTTTAATGAAACCAAAGAAACAAAGAACTTTGTATTAAAAAACGTTTCTATTTAAAGGATTCGAAGCTTTAAAAAGTATGGGAAAAAAGTTTTAGACTCAACATGTTCTTCGGACACTAATTATCTCTCATTTCAGTAAATTAAAAAAGGTACCAAATGATATTTTTCATTTTTTTTTAATAAATGTAAACATTTATAGAATTTTTCGATATAAAAGAATGAAAAAAAATATTTAAGTACGCAATCAACATATAAGTATTCATATCACAATGTACCTACTTACTTACATTTATTAGTGATATTTATTATTTAATATTATAAAGTACTGTATTATCACCCTGACTGTATTTTACATTGTTATTTTATGTTATTATTAAACATATCGTATTTAATTCATTATTAAAGCAAATAAATAACGTATGCATTATCAGTCGAACAAGTAATAATATTATTATTCGTATACATTTTCTTTTATAAAAATGAGTTTTTATGTAGAAAAAATCATATTTATTGAAATGTCTATGTATTCATCAAATTATTTTGAACTGTGGACTCATCGTTAGCGCTTTTGTTTTCTTTTTCGAGCCGTTTTAAACGGTAAACATGATTATTTTATGAACCATCATGGCACAGTGATAATAACGGTAATGGAATAAGCAAAAATTCTTGACCGCAAACGACACATAAATCGTGAATGACATTTGAATGGATGGGACAACAGATAAGACGTATGCTGAAAAATCGGTCTCGATAGGAGAGAGAAAATGTAATCTTAAACCATACATGAGTCAAACGCACTGGAATTGCACAAGGGACAACTAATGAAGGAAAAATAACGTAAACCTGTGGAGCCGAAATATCTGTTAAACGTAAACAACATGTTCAAACATTTGAACGCCAGCAGCTTGAATAAATCTTAAATCGACCAGAAGTATATTGCTAAACGGCCGAACCGAATCTAAACGATAAGTTGCGAAAATCGTTCAAGTCGTTTCCGTTAAAATAGTGGAACCGCAAGATAAGATATTATTTAAATAGACAACGGAATAATAAACCATGAGATAATGTTTAACAGAAAAAAAAACAAACTGAAAAAAATCCACATTTTGTAAACTGACACTGTAAGCCGGAGATTTCTTTTAGTACGATAAAAAAAAAAAAAATAAAGCAAACTAAATTCACACGAATAAAATATCAAAACTTTATAGAACTTTTATAATTTTATGACTGATTAAGGACCATCAAAAATGATATCGTAAACCTTCTCATTAAAAAGCCAGATATAGTCGAAGCTTAAAGTACAAAAAAGGAATTATTGTATAATTTACTATAACTACTTATTTCGTTTTTAAATCTTGTAATTTACATAACAGTCGTAAAAGTATTAAATTTCGTTAGCAAAATTACAAAAAATATTGCTTTGCCTTGAAAACAATATAAAATGGACAGTTTTTTTCAACTTTCATAATTGTTTAAGATTATTAATTTCCTCCATATCCGTTTTACTATAGTATGCAGTAAAAGAGTTTCTTTTATTTATATCACCATTGTTTTATACAATATTACTACAATCTGATTAGTTTTTTCCCTTTATTGTTCTCGTTTTTCATTATCTAATTAGAATCAGTAAGTTAATTTTATCTTTTATTTAATTTTATTTATATCGTTTAGAGAATTATTTTTTCCAGATATCATACATTAAGTTTTAATTATTTTAACTAAAATATTGTGTAGCAGATTCAGAATTAAATTTTGATTGCTGTCGTATACAATTATTATTATGTACGGTTACTGCCTTATATTATTATAAGATGACATACAAAACAAATTTCTAGAAAATTTGAATTATCTTGGAAACCAATTACAAGGCATTTATTTTACGGAGTTGGCCTAATCACATAAAAGTAATGAAAATAATTTAAACAATAATCTATTTAAACGCGTCTCTGAAAATAAGACTATGTTCTCATAATAATACACCTCATTATTTTAACATTTTCTAAAAATATTAGAATTTAATTAATGTTCTTATTTTTTAATGTTTTTATTTTTTACTATCACAGTCGACAAAACATGCAATTTTTTTTTTAAATTAATATTTATGATCTGTATACATAGTTTATACAATAAGTAAATTTTGAAGGCTAATAGTAGAAAAAAAAACAAAGACATGTGGACTTGAGAGGAGGGGGCATCCAATGACTCCACTTCAAATTTCATTACTTATTAAGTTAATTATTTAATAAATCTCTAGCTTTAATCGACGTAGTGGATTGATTAGGTTACTTAAAGAACGGAGATTAAAACATGCGATTCAAGAAAATAAATACAAGCAATGAGTTATTTAATAACACACTTTACAATATTGCTGCGGTCGGTAAATAAAAACTATATCAACGTCTGTATACAAACTTCGGTGATATTTTTCAATAGACAGACATGGTATGGAGTGTCGAGCCACTTCATGATATATTTTTGGAGAAGAAGTCCTCCTCCTTTCGTTCACTAGATCGTCCATGTTAGCATTGCTTTTCACAACACTCGGCTTCCACACTTCCGACACGTTGGGGTACATCAGTGCTGGCAGTCTGTTCAGCGGTGACCTGTTTTCACTGTGTTCCAGCCAATAAGTCTTCATGTTCCCTAAAAAAAGAAAAACTTTTACCATCGTCGATTCATAGCTGAATTTCTCGACCGCAAAACCGACTAAAGAATAAGACCGGTATGTATTTAAGAATTTTTATATTTAAGAATTTTTATCCCGGAAGGGTATGGTAAATTTTCAAGGAGATAAAAAAAATAATTTTCGGTAAATTCCTTATATTGAACAAAATATATATAAATAAAGAGATTGTTCATTTTTCTCTGACAAGGTATTATCCACTACCTTTCTACCATATAACCATTGGACATGTTCGAGGCTTACCTTTACCCTTCACGTAAATCTCGCCTCGTTCGCTGACCGTGTATGATGTCGAGATCAGGTCTCTGGTGGTTTGAGATATGTGGATTTTCATCGCCTCGCTAGTGGACTCCATCCGGGACGCAGTGTTGACCGAGTCTCCGAACAGACAGTATCTCGGCATCTTCATGCCGACAATGCCAGCTACTACGGCGCCGGAATGTATGCCCACGCGTATTTGCAAATGAGATTCTGCAAGAGAAACGAACGTGACGTGACTAACAAACTTGTTTTTATTTATTATTAAAAACGGGCAAACCCTCGGTAAGATTATTATATTGGGTTGCGTTCTATCATAAAATTTGTTTTAAAGCAACAGAAGTGGCAAGCGCCAAATATGTACAGAATTACGATATTCTAGTCGAAAAACGAAAAATGGATCAGCAGTGACGTTCATCATAATTGATCTTAACGGTACATTAACAGGTAAATAATCGGTAATGGCTGTACGTCACACAAAACGCTATACATAATGGGGTAAATGACAAACGATTTATTTACATAATTCATAGAAAAGGATCCGTTCGGTAATCATAAAATTAATAACATTACTTGTTGATGGATCTTTTAGATCTTTTATCGCTTCGACCATGTCCAAAGCCATGTTGCAAACTTTCTCCGCGTGATTGTCTTCGGTCATTGGCGCGCCCGAAACTACCATGTACGCGTCGCCGATGGTCTCGACCTGAAATGCATTGTTAATTTTTTCTTTTCTATTTTAATTAATCCGCACGGCGATCATTGCAACGTGCGAGAATCCAGTGAATAATACAGTAGTTTTATATGAACCTTGTAAACGTCGTTGCGCTCGGTAAGGTGGTCGAATATGGAATACATGGCGTTCAGCATTGACACCACTTCCATCGGCGTGATTCTACTGCAGATCTCGGTGAATGTTACAATGTCCGAAAACAATATCGACACGCTGTTAAATATCTGAAAAAAAAAAAAAAACGAAAAAATTAAATACGATAACATCGACAAATCGATATCAATCGCAATTGGCGGCGTAATTCACACCTGACACGTATCAATAGGGTTCTGGCCCTTCCGCAGCCGGTCGGCCACCTGTTTGGGTATCATCTGGTACAGCAGCTCGTCCGTGCGTTTCATTTCTTCGTCCAGTTTACGCATCGATTCTTCCAGTTTTTTCGACTTTGACTGCTCCTGGTCCAGGGCCAGTTTCAGCTCAGCCGACTGCTGTGTCCCTACCAACATTAAGTCCCTAGGGTATAACGGAAACAAAACGAGAGTACCATTATTATTATTATTATTATTATTATTGTTGATGTTGTTGTTAGCTTTGCGTGGTCTTACGCACGGCGCACAGTATAACTACCGCGATACGTTCAGGCCTCTTGCCCACTGCATAAATTACCGAACGAACGAACGAAAACTTTCAAATTAATTACTATTTTGGCCACGAACCTGCTGAAGTCGTGCATGGAGAGATCATTTATGTACAGGCCGGTAGTGACCAGAGCCGTGAGATTAGGCATCACCGGCGTACCTAAGTACATCATCATTTGCCAATTGTCCATGTAAATCATTTGTCCTAAACGAAACAAGGGTTGTTTTCGTTTAATAATTAACGCTTCGCTCTCTAACAGTTAACAACAAATGTTTTTCCTGAGCCTTTTGTTCAATGGTACCGTTTATTATGACATCCACTTATTCATACAATATTTATGCAATACATTGTGACTACGTATATACCTCTCAGTCGCAGTTTGTTTTCTTCCAGTGAAACGTCGGTTTCATTGTTCAGAATGAACTGCCGGTCAATGGGCCGATCGGAGACCACGGGCTGCAAAGCGACCAACTCGAAGATATTGTTCGTCCGGTTCAGTATCTGTTCAGTACGAATTCAAAAATTTTTACATTACGTTCATCTGTTTATCTGTATCCCACGGAAGGACACACTTACTGTTTGAAATTTAAAAGCTATCAAAGGTCTGACCAATTCGAACCAATTGGTGATCTGTTTACCAACCAAATCTGGTAGGATGACCAGCAGCGAATTTCCGATGCTATGGACAACCATGTTGGAACTATAGGATAAAGAAAAAAAACGTCAGTTCGACATTCGCGTATCGTTCGCAGCACTTATTATTTCCCTCCATGGGCTCAAAACGATCGCACGTGAAACGGACTTCAGATGTGAAGTGTTGATATAATTATTTTATGCGAAAAAAAAATGAATTAACAACAAAAAAAAAAAAAAAAAACACCGCTAAAACAACCGTCGGAGAGAAATAATATTGCATTAGTTTTACATCAGTTTTTTGGTCATCCACCTGAACACAATGCAAAACGGAAATATTTCGAACAGCACCGACGCACTGATTGGCAGATGTTTCTCTTCTCGGGTCATCGTCATGGACGCCAATGTGAACGCTCTATTGTCGAATTCCAGCTGAAACGTCACGTGCAACGTATCGTTCAGGAACTCTTCACATACCAGTTCGATGCGCATCTCCTGAAACATTATCCATCCACCCAAGTTACGATCGTGTCGGGATTCCAGGTTGCCAGCAGTCCGTACCTTGTGGTAATAGTGCCTGGCCACTTGTTTAATCTGACCCATGGTGTAGTAAACGAAACCGCGGCGTTTGCTGCGATAGTGCAACGTCAACCCGTGTCTGGACTCGTTTTCACAGATGAACGACGGCGCTTGCATCTTCGGATACGAGAACTTCAAGTACTCGTGTAAATTGTCCAAACCTGTGTTCACAACGGTCGCCAAAAATAATAATTAATCAACGACAATACCAAACATATGAACGTCGAATGCTCTCCGATCGTCTTAGCGTTCGATAACGTACACCGATTACTAGGTATGAAAAATGGAATATTCGCGAAGCTGGACGAGTTATCTTTAATTTAGCAACTCTTCGAGTCAAGTTGATGAAGATGCAAGTCAAATTATAAGTTTTTTCTCTGTGTAAAAGTTATAAGTTTAATGGTGAAAAAAATAACTTAACTTGGATAAAATAAAATAACTTTCATATTTATCGGAATTGAATTAAAATATTTATATAAAGCTGTACGAGTTATTTTTATCTTTCTTGAAATCTAAAAAAAGATAATTTAACAAGACCTTCAAAAATTATTTACAATTCCTATATATTTTAATAAAATCGATAAATTTTACAAAAAATATATTTTATATATTTTTAATCTTCAAGATTAAAATCCAGGAAAAAATTCAACTTAACGTGACTATACAATGAATCAACTGATTAGTAGCTACTGAAAAAATGGTATTAACCCGTTAAATTCGAAGTTATTAAAAATATAATAAAAGTAGCTCACTTCTTAATATGGTTAAATGTAACAACTTTTTAACTCGTTTATGCGCAGTTTATTTAACTTATCGTAGTTAGGAACGTTTTATATTCCGATGTTTTGCCAATATTCGAACAATCGGTCGAAAATGCGTTCTTCTTGTTTTCATGTTACAAATATAAGGCCCTATCGGACCGGGACTTGGGGATTCAAATTTGTCAACTACTATACATTAAATGGGCCTCTATTGCAGTTTCAAACGTGGTGTGTCAGGAGGAATGAGATTTGAATTAAAAATAAACATGATTTGACACAACATGATAGTAAAATTATTATTTAAAACAAAAATGTTTTATTGTTTTCGTCCGTATGAAGTTGTAGCGTACACGTAAAATTATACGTATGAAATATGCATCTCATACCGTTGTTCGATCGTGATAGTTATCGGCTCCACAGAACTGCCACAATATCGTTGTTAATAACTTTTACACCCTACACGATCAATTGACTACGATAATCCATGTACAAATTAACATATATATATATATTATGATTTACTGCACTCTACTGTTTTATATTTTAGTTTTTTTTTTATTTATATTGACTACAATAACAACGATAAATTGCAAAGAATAAAAGTAAAAAGGTATTGCAATACAAATTATGTGATTCGATTGTAATAATTATGTGACATTTAAAAAATATTGAGTTAAATCAAGCTCTATGTTAAAGGTTTATTCGTTTTGCTAAATATACGTTCAAACCACTAAAAGATTTAGCCCATTTAGGTAATTAAAAAAAAAAAAAAAAAAAAACTAAACGTGCACGAATCATGGTGGAATAAATTTTCTATATTAGGATAAATTAATTAAAAATATAATTTAATTTAAAATCAGTTGTATTAACAATTGTACGTGATTCGTTGTTATATTGGGTAATGTCGTAAGAAATTATTTCATTGTATGTGTTCATATTATTATCATCTCGTATTTTATGTTTGTGTTTGCTCTTTTTGATATTATAAAATCGTTTATGCAATTATGAACATATTATTATGCGACATTGTAGATCCTATGTAAACATTGGATTTATACCCAAAGAATATCAACTGTTGTTCTAATTATATGAGTGTATAATTAATAAATAAATTGCACCAAAATTTCAGTCTCGAGTTAATACAGAAAAAAAAAAAGAGAATAAAGGCAAATAATGGACGGAAGGAAGGGAAGGGCAAGTATAAAAATGGTATACGAGTAGAAAAGAAAGGAAAAATTGAGATCGAGTCAAATGATAGTATAGGTAACTTTGACATTTTATATTTTTGAAAGCACAAACTGGAAAAAATCGAATTTAAATATTACGGTTGGCTTACGAGAAGTACTAAGAATACCCAACTTCGGATAAACGACGGAGAAAGGGAAGAGTACGAACTACGTAACGAAATAACGTTTTACCGCAACCGTTGTGGGCAAATATCTGCCGTGAGTTATTTGATTTATTAATTTTTTCTCTTCGTTAAATAAAACACAATTTGATGTTAATAGCGATTACATATTTCTATCACGGGGTCAATTTTATCGTTTACAGGTACACGCGGTCAAATTTAATGCGAATGGTTGTGGGTAGGGGCTGGTGGTTCGACGCGCTATCAAACCGTTTATCTTCAACGCAACGTGAAACTCCGTTGATTGAATTTCGTTACTCGTCACTCGATGGCAATCGATAGTTTATTCAACGCACAACGATTGGTCGTTTAATTAGCAGTTCGTACGGACAAGGTAGGGTACACGTTTCATTAATACATTATACATGTACGGGTGTAATGTACGTGCACGTAAGGTCGGCCGCGTGCGTCATTGATTCGTGTTACGAATAGAGGCGCACGAGAATGACACTCTGTTACATCTTTGTGCGCGCACTGCCTGTCGACGGACGAACGAATCAAAATGTGGACCAGTCTCGTGGGCGATTATCGCTGCGTATTAATCAACTGCATGTATAGGGGTTGGGACTCATTTCACCCCCTTTCCACCCCGAACGAAACTCGACCTATAACGATACGCGATTCACGTGAATTTCGATCGATCTCCGGCCACTCATCCCCCCGGAGAACAACGATGACGATTGTTGTGTTTCTTACCGTTTAGAAAATCTCGCATGTGACGTCCCAACACCGACAGTATACGATTGTACTCGTATTGGCCGACGAACGTGACGAAATGAACTCCCATTTGCTCGAAAAATTCTTTTTCCGTGATTCCGAGTACCTGGAACGATACGGAGACAGGGGGAGAGAAATAGAAAAATGAAAAAAAATAAAAATATTCAGCAAAAAAAAAAAAAAAAATACCGAACCCGACGCACGCGCGATTATAATAATACGTGCGTTTGTCGACATCCTGTAAGGTCGCGTGTAGCGCGTGTATTCACGGTAAACGCGCAGATGCGAAAACGTGTGAAGTACATACTTCTTGCGATTTTTCCGCTATCCGAGGTATGAGCGAGTCGCAATAAACTTGGTGCACGCTGAAACTAGGTTGCTCCACCTGGGCCATTCGGCGGATCTCCTCCCATCTGTCTTCGCCGTACATTTTTTTTATATACTCCGAGAGGTTTTCCAATAAAAGCCCGTACATCGTTGATCTGGAGATGGTGCAGAGACGGACAGAGGAAAACAGGGATGTGAGAGAGAGGAAGAGAGAAATAAAAATATAATAAATATATATATACACTTGTTTTATGAAAAAAATGTCGACGTTTTTTTTTTCTACCAGAATAATGGCGCGCGTTGAGAGATATTGGACTAAACTGCCTGTGAAATTGGTTTAAAGGAACAGTTAGATGAAACGTTCCTGGCCAAGAGTGACTCACGTAGAATGTGCTTTTAGATAATGGACAATCTAAAAGACTTAAGGGTGATTTTTTTTTTTTCAAATCATTTACCAAACACAAAGTAACATGATATATCAGACGTAATTGTTATGAAAAGTCTCCCCCTCGCTGATCGTTTATTGTTTTCATTAAATTAAATTCTTGTTTATCAGTATCATACAGCTTTTGCTGCTGTTCTTTTTCTTAATTTCTTTAGTTATTATTATTATTATTATTATCATCATTATTATTTTTTAATTTTCTACGAGTGTCAATTCATATATTTCTATTGATGGTGAAATATTATTTTCCAACATACTACATCTATATGACCGCCTTCCAATAGGATAAATATACTTTTGTAATTATTATTTCGCGCACGGTAACTTTTAAAAATCTAAGTAAAAAAATGACAATCGATCTTATTTCAATCACGAATTTTCTTTTGTCATTCATTTATATTTTACTACAGTACGATAACAGTACGAGATTATTGCTATTATTAAATTCATTTTTAAAGGACTGTTTAGCATTCTTTATTACATCTGATTTTCAATTATCCAATGAAAAATACGTGACTCAATTGTGCAGCATTTTTTTTTCTTTCTTTTTATAGTCTCCCTTCCTCTTTTCTTTGAAACGAGCTCGATTTTGATACGGATATTAGTTGGCGGTACGGCAGTCACGCGAGTATTTAAATCACCGACATCCCATTTGACGTACACTTTAATGTCCGTGTTTTGCTAGTGACAAATATTTATTAATCCAAAACATTTGGCCTGATTTAAACAGCGCAGTGCGGCGTGCCAATTACGGTGCAGGGTGTTTTTTTTAACGTATTTTTCACACAGGTGCGATGATTTGGGGCTATAAATTACTCTAAATGTCGTCGCCATAGAAACATCTGGTCATTGCATAAGCTCACTAGTCCAATATCCGAGGTGCCGTAAATTTCCCTTCAACTATAAGAGTACGGTTACGAGATGTCGTTTTCAGGCACTCTTTTTTTTTCTTATGCCGTATCATGAAACAATATACAAATTTATCAACATCTGATCATAACGAATATCTTACAGTGGTCTCCAAAAACTATTAACGTTCGACACGTTTAAGATCTAACCATCATAGTTGATGCGATATTATAATATATCCAAATTTAATATCTATTTACAAATATCTTTGGTAAGATATTTTACCATTGAGTTAAAAATCATCGCAACAATTGTACCTGCTATCTAATTTGGCTTTATTTTAAGATCAATAAAATAATTGTATTCTTTATGGTCACTGGACGAATTGGCCAAGAATCTACGTTAAGGAACATGGTAAATTGTAGTTAAAATTTAAAAAAGATATGTACTTGTTTGGATATGTTTTCAAACGGTTTAATATAATTATAATGTATACATAATTGTATACAATGTATTCTGTACATATATTGTATTATCACATTATATTATGAGCGTACATCATATGAGTTACATTGATACCCAAAGAGAATATCTTTAGATTTAAAATATTGATTTTTATTTCGTTATGAAAAATTCATTCCACCGAATGTTTCGAACACACACCGTGTACCTAAGACAATAAAAAAAAGTTGTTTGTATGAAAAAATGATTTCCATTGTCCCTACTTTAATTCCGAAACTTAGAATTATTGTTCCTTCTTCACGACTGTAAACTTAAAAATGATACTTGCATAAATTTATGTTGCTCATATGCATGCTTACACACACGTACATACACACTCACGCATACACAAGCACGCACGCATTCACATGAACATGTGCGCACGCACGTGATGTATGCAATAAATGAATATTAATCAATTAGATATAATTTTATGTGAATTATTTTATTTTATCAAATAATTATTAATATGACGTTATGGTGTTGTAAAAGTGGCCGTTGTTGAAATTGTTTAAGTGAATGAAAATAGTTACCGAGCATATTGGCTACCGTCCTATGTAAAACGTGACATAATAACTAATTTACCAGGAGTATACGTAAGAACATTGAGTAGCAAGCAATGATCATGTTCTAGCGAAATATTTTTATCGACTCGGTACTAATTTGCAAAATTACAACCTCTACAATCGTTTCCAATGCCTCAGGACGCGTTTTCCCGTCAGTATGTACGCGTTTAGTAAACTAAACAAATTTAAATTCGTGTTAATTATAATCGAGCAATTTCGAAAATTAAATTATAGGCCACAGGCAGTTTAATTAAAGCCGGTGCGATGATAACATGTGTCGGACACTAACATTAGCTCGGGTATTTTATAATTCCAGCAACACGTAACAGGAATCCGGCGGCCGGGGTCGGTTAGATAATATTCCGCATTGCGATTCCGGACCGGGAAATGAGTTGCGCGTGTATAATTCCGAATCATGAATGGGTAAGCATAACATTATTACACAGCGGTATTCGAATTCGGTGAGCGCGATCAATTCTGATCACGTCATGTGCACTGTGGCATATGTCTTTATTGACCTTCTATGAGCCAACGGTGCAGACTATTTACCAGATGACAATGTTTAACGATGAATCTAATGGAACCCGTATTGCTAAACCTTAACACGTATACGATTGGAAAAAGCAGCGGAATACCCCCGAAGAAGACGACCAAAACAGAAAACGGATTAAAACCAAAAAATAAGATTAAAACGGATTAAGTAGAAACATAAAAATACACGCATACAAAGTCAAACACATCATATACTTTTGGTTTCTTGAAACATTTTGTTGATGGTTTATTTTTCTATTCCGAACAATATCTTACAACTTAAAATCACATAAAATGTGTTAAAAATCGTGCGTCTCGTAATCAGAGCAAACCAATGGATTTCCATGTTAATGGATTTCATAATGAGCTTGATGCACGTCGTTTGGGAGTGGCCAGATCGCTAACCAGATGGTTTTCGGAATTATTGTTATTTTTTTTTTTTGCGCACGGTCGTAAAAAAAGTTTGAAGCTTGGGCTAGGGAAAAAAAAATAATAAAAATACGAGGGCCGTAAAAATGTAGGGTAAAAAGAAAAAAACCTCGTAAAAACAATAGGTAGTCGTCTCAAAAGAAAAATTGATGGCGGCGGCGGCGGCGGCGGCGGCAAGAGGTATGCGTGGAAGGCGCGTGTACGTATAGTAATAAAAAAAGAACAAAAAATATGGGAAAAAAAAATGAAAATAAGAAAAACGACGTCATCGCGAAACAAACGCATAACCTGAGACATATCATGTATAACATATTCCGAGAGATCAAACACGCGTGCACTTCTGTTGTGTTAATATAAAAAAAAAAAAAAAAAAAAACGTCAACCATTGAGTCCAAAAATACTAAAATTACATATAATATATACTCACATGTTACTAGAGATAGAGAGAGGGAGATAGCGCACGTGCACGCGTGATAACGACGAAGGAAATAAAATTATAATTAAGTGTGTAGTATTGTCGAAAGCGCCAGTCCCGCAGCACGTTGAGTAGAAACCGTAAAAAAAAAGGAAACGATTTAATAATATTTAACGATAACAGTTCAGGCTTGCTATAAGTAGTACTGTGCGGACTGCTCTGCTGGTCGTGAAGAAGTCTCCACCGGTGGTTCGACGGTCGGCGCAGCGCTGCAGAGACGGACCGTCATCGAAACGTATGAATCAACCAGTGCGTCGCGGACTGCGAGCCGCCGGCTCTCGCGGCCGAGTCCGATGACGGGCGCTTCGGCCCGTGGACGAGACATTGTCCTTGCCCCACCCCGTCCCGTACATTATATTATTTCCCGTTTCTTTTCTCACGTCCTTCCCGCCGCCGCCGATCATCCTTCGAATCCCTCGTCCTCGTCCGCCCGCCAACGGCTCTTCGTTTTCACATCGCCCACCCGTTCATTCGGCTTCGACCCTCCAGCAACAGTAGCTGTCTTAATCGAGCCGTCAACGTGCATGCCGCGCACTCGACTTATCCGCTGCCACTTCTCACCGACGACGGTTTCCACTGAAACAACAACAATACAACAACGTATTTCCACCGATTTTAATGTTATTGCATATATTACCATTTCATTACTACTACGAACAACCGGGACGATAATTATTATTATAATTATTCAATTATGTTTATTTATATATTTAATTAATTATTTTCCATTGATCGCACGCGTCTCGACGGCTATCGTTGACGGTTGATCGGAAGGCGGCGAGTAAATGAACCAGCATTGGCCGAATCGAATTTCCACCAAGTTCCTTGTACCCCCTTCGGACACGGTTCGATATCCACCCTTGGCTCTAATTTAAACACACCCCGCACTGGAAATCTCCCCCGTCACCCGAATATACTATATATTCGACCCCATGCGGGTTAAGGATTGACTGCTCACCAACTGCTCCTATCCCACCACGAACCATCGATCCTTACCATCATTATTATTATTACGATTATATTAACCAGCGTTTAACGTAAATGTTGATTATTCTAAAAAGTTGTATTTTATTTTGATCCCACGGCTATACTACAATATGTTTCAACGCAATAATTTGTAAAATATAATATTAGAATTCGGCAATATTTCATTTTGAAATGCCTTAAAAACATTTTTGAGATATTCCAATAAATTATATTTTTTATCAATAAAATCTTATGAAAAAAGCCTGAAGTATAAAAATTGAGAATTTCATTAATTTTTAACTAAAAAATTTAATGGACTTCCACAATTTTTATCGTACGATATAAATTTTATACAATTTTTTTTTTAAATTAATCTCATTTTTTTTTACATTGCTCAGTTGTAGATTTTAATTTTACAGTTATTTATAAGTAGCGCAAAAAAATGTTTTGAAAAATATATCAAATACGATTCACAAATATAAAAATATTGAGTAAAAATGCCAAGTCTCTACAAATATTAATTTTAAGTGACGATTAAAACGAAAATTAAATTTTTTTGATATCTAGGAAACCGTAAATATTGTTTTTTATAGTATAATTGTTTATCTATTTTTCATAATTATTAGAAAATTATTGGAGAAAACGTAAAATTACTTTTCTCTAGAGATGGGCAAGTTATTCGAAAAAATGTAATTAATTACGAATTAAAAATTACACAAAATCGAAGTATTTATTTACAAATTACAATATAAAAATGCAGATAAATATTATAAAATTAATATTAAAATGTAAATAAGAAGTTTTTATATTATAGTTAAAACGTTAATTAAATAAACAATTAACAAGTAAGTATAATAAGTAGAAGTGTATAAAATTTAAATTATACATAAATTTCACATTTTATAATTATAATTTCCTTTTTAAAAAAAACATGATTTTCAAATTGCTAGTCGAATAGCCTTTAACATGGGAAGGTGCCATTATAAAACACGAAAAATAAAAAATATCTTTCTACGGAGTTTGACGAACAAAGATATTTCCTAGATAACTGGATAATTATTTAAGCATTGTAGGATATTATTTTTATCATTAATAAATTATATTAGTTTTATTTCAATACCTATTTTATGATTATCTATAGAAGATTGGTTGAACTTCGGAGAATAATTAAAAATTTACTAAAATTCTCTAATAAGCTTATGTTTAATAAATTATTTTTATTTTAGTATCAAAAACTTTTGAGTAAAATTATAAAATAAAATGTATACAATACTTATATGCTGTTTCTTTGGTTATCGATGAGTCACAAAAATGTGGGTTTGCTCGAATGTTAACAGAAACTATAGCATCTAAAAAATTAATATAATTGAAATATAATAAATAGAGTATTATTATCACTCTTAATATCTTGTATTATTAGTGAAATTTCAGAGTTCCGGCTTTTTTAATTTTTTTTAAAAAAAATTTCAGTTATTTTTAATTATTAGTTAAACAAATGTTTAATAATTAACTATAAATTACAAATTACTTAAGTAATTCAATTACTGTAATTGAAAAGTGCCCAATTCTGCCATTCCCAAGTAACAAGTCAACTTTTCCAATCTCTTATGATTGTGATGGTTGAAAAAATTCTTCAGGTACAAAATGTATATCACAGATACAAATAAAAATAGTTTGTGTAAAAATAATATGCTATGATGATAAAGAATTATCAGTTAAAATTAAATGAAATTAGAGTTATTTACGATTTTTTTCCTTCTTTTTTAATCATTCAGAAAACTGACGTGAGATTTAAAACAGGATTTTCTCATGATATCAACTAAAATTATTTCCATATATTTTACTTTTTTTGGTGATGATCAAATCAATTTTTCCAGTCAAAATCTTGTATATAGTAACAAAAAACATGTAATGGTTAGGTTAGTTAAAACCAATAACTCAATATCTCGAACATTCCTCATCTCACCCAAAATTAAAAAAAAAACAGAAATGTAAATTATCTGGTTTTTTCATAATTTCTGATGTGAAATATACGATCTAATACCGTTACTATACCGAATACATTTTTTTTTTTTTTTTTTTTATTAAAGCACTTATGACTGATTGATAACTGAAAAAAATAAAATATTAATATTTTTAAATAATAAACTAATATACTCTTGATACCAAAATATTTGGATTAATAATATTAAAAACTAATACTTATTTTTCCAAAGTAAATCCTTTTATATGAACCACCATCTATGATCGTGTGAAATCTTAGGATCATGTGTAAAGCCTTGACTTTCAAATAGACCTTTTTATACGGCTATTTGTCTACTGGTACCCCACGGTTCCAAATAAACGAATTTTATTATTTATCGGTTACTTATGGTGTTATCACAGATGTGATTCTAAGAATTCAATATAATTCAACGTCATGAACGAATACGGGTTCCGTGTATTTATCAGAGTTCTACACTCAACTCCGAATTTAAATGGTTTTTAATAACAATCATTTATGAACGAGTGCGGTTTCATTTATTTTACCGTGAATGGCACATGCATTGATATCACGCGAGGAAGATCTTGACATTTTAAATTAAAAAACCTACCACGTTCTCAAGGCTATACGTTGGCTTTTTCATTCTTTTGACGAAACTGTTATGCGCGTATTTTTAATCGACCGAACCGATGGAACTATTTGAAGCATACATGTGATTTAAGATTATTTAATGTGACTAAATATAATATTCTACTCTGGTTTGCATTATACACAGTGTTGGGAATAGATAATGGGAAATTTATCTAGATAAAGATTAAAGATATTATGTCCGAATTCATCTAGATAAAGATAAAAGAGAATTTCATTTTTATCTAGATAAAAAAAAAAAAGATATTTTCAAAAATTGTTATTTTTTGGTCAATATTTCATATTCTAATAATATCTATGAAGACTCAATTATAATCATTATTATCAATAGGTATCTAGCTGTTTAATGTTTATTGTAGTAATGTAGTGAACCATTAAGCAGTATTTATATAAAATGTACAATATATAATGATAGTCAATCACTAAAATGTTACAAAAAAAAAAAAAAAAAAAAAAAAAAAATGAAATTTGCTCTGTACGTATCGGGATGAATACAGTATACATAAAAAAATATTTTAAGTTAATAATATTGTTTTCCATATAATATTAATTTGATGATTTTCATTATAATTTAAGTAGTTACGACTTTACAGGTTCCAAGAGTAAAATAATAACTAATCAGCGTTGAGTGACATGTTTATATTAAAATCAAATACCTACTATATTTGGAACTTTCGTGGAAAATGAGAAATTAAGTTTAAAAATACCAGAAATATTTTTCCGAAACACAAACAAAATGTCATACCAAGAAATAATTACTTATTAATAATTTACGAATTATGATTATGAATACACAACCTATATGTATAAAATAAAGTCAGATTATTTACAGAATTAATAACTCAAGAATGGCTGGGCCGATTTTGATGATCTCTGATTTGCTGGATTCGTCTCCATACAAGAATAAAAATAACTCTAATCTTGGCAAGAATACAGACAATTATCTAGATAAGTAAAAATTTTATCTTGAATAAGTTATTAGATAATTTACCTAGATAAGTCTCAACACTGGTTATACACCTAAGCGATCTTTTTCTTTAATATTATTATTCAAAAAGTTCATTTCAATGCCAATAGTTTTCTCTGGACGGTCCGTGAAATCTTCTTATCAATCATACAGTTTTATTGTAAATGAACTACAATTTCTGTAGTTTAGAAATTTTCAAATTTCTGTGCAGATTTTGATAAAATATCTAGGAACTTCAAAAGCTTCTAAATAGTTAAAATACTATGTCAATAGCAGAACGATTTTGAACAAAATTTATTTCAACCGTTTTGTTATAATTCAGAAAATAATTTTATAGGTTTAAAATTATGATAATATATTTATTTTAGTATATTATGGATATAATGAAATAGGGCACAATGCATATATTTTCGAGGATATTTTGTTGCTTAACTTTCGCTATTTCATGTTTTATCTCATAACTTGAAATTTGATATGTAGTTTCGATTTAAAAGAATAAACATTTAATAATAATATGTTCTTCTAAGGTTTCTATAATTTAAAAATCGAAAAGTAAATTGTAACTCAAACAATATTTTTCTATAAGCATTTAAGGGAACTTTAAATATGTAGGTAGGTATGTAATATTTTGTTTTATCTTACAAATTGACATACACACATATTTTAAACGTGATATAAAATAATTTCACAATATGTTGATTACATAAGCAGTAACCTATAGAAGAAAAATATATTTTCAAAAGTTTGTTAACCACGAATCAAAAAGATGAAA